CATTTCCATATTCAAGTCCAAGCAGGGCACATTTAAGGTAAAAGTCAATTCCACTTCATGAAAGCAAGTAAGCATCAGAGTAGTAGCCTCTGCTTTTGTTCCAAACTGCCCATCCAACTTAAGAAAAAACTTTGCAACAAAATCTTAATCTGACACAAGATTATGCAGCTTGGCTGACTTCTGTTTACATTCTGAGATTCCTTCTCTCCTTCTGTTATTATAAACAACCAGAAAAGTCAAAGAAACAAACCCAGCTAACTTTCATCAGAAGCAAAAGAAAAGTCCTTAATTTATAGTACCTATTCAGCTGTTAGCAAATGTATGAAGTAAGTGAATGAACAAATCAGTTTTGGGAGAAAAGGTAAGGTACAAAAATGCTGGAGACTATGAAGCCATTTATCTGTCTTGCTCAAAAAGCATCTCATTCTGGGGATTAGCAAAGGGATCAATCTTTAGGGTGATTGGTAAAAGGATGTCAGCATTGCGGTAATGACATGAAACATCATTATTTGGGTAACAAGTAACAGGGATTTCATAACCGCCAAATGTTTGCAGCCAATGTTTTTGCCGTCAAATTTTATTCTACACCTACTAACTTTGGTTTGGCACAATGACACTTTATTTGGAGCATGGTTAGGAGACTGAACTGTCCTGGGGTAGAGATGGCTCAGTGGTTAAAAACACTTGCTCTTTTGGAACACCCAGGCTTGGTTCCTAGCACCCACAGTGGGTCACAACCATCTGTTCCAGAGAATATGACACCATCTTACTCTGCATGCATTGCACAAACATTGCACATAAACTGAAACAGGTTCTCTAGGTCACTCATACACACGTGCATACCCACACACACATACACACATATACACACACACACACACACACACACACACAACTCACAACACACAAATAAAAATAATTAAACCTTTAAAAAAAAAAAGCCAGCAAGAACCCAAAGGCTCCTGTTGCATCTGCTATCAACCTGTAACTGGTGACTGGTGCAAAAAGGAAAATTTTCTGAGTTCTGGTTTGGACACAGATGGGTATTGTGGGATACTGGTCAAAACAAGAGCAAAACAGACAAACAAACAAAAAGCCTAGCACACTCAAATGATACAGTCAAGAGGAAAAACTAAGGGAGTCAATTTGAAAGCATAGGAAGGATGTGTAAAGAAAAGTTAGGAATGGTGGCATATCCTCAGGTAGCAACATCAGGAAGCCACCATCATTTCTAAGTCTAAGGTCTGTGTAACACAGAAAGGAATTATAATGTGATCATTACACAGAAAAATACAGACATGCAAAAGGCAACTTTGTCAGTTCTACCTCAATCTTCTAGCGATCACAGGACTGCCTACAGATAAAACACCAGAAAAAAGAATACTTGAGATCCCTCCTTTCCTAGATCAAGTTGAAAATGGGTAGAAAAAAATTCTAAGAGTAATGCTAGGCAACTTCTGGCATTTCCTTATCTCTGAGTAAACAGATAAGCCATTTCTCTATAATGGACAGATCTAAGATAGGACCCATCTCTGTGATCAAAGGGCATCACAATATCTGTATTAGCACATTTAATGATGATGTAACATCTTGTTTGTTTCTCCTTCATTAGACTCTGCACTCCTTTAGGGAAGGAACTGTCCTATTTACCTTTATATCCATAGCACTCTAACAAGGTACAAAAATGATCCCACAGTGTGCACTGAATCAATTAATGGACTCAGTGTCTACTAACTGGTTAAAATACAGAATGAGCCTTAGTAATTAAACAGTAAGCTATATTCAGGACACAGTGTAATACATTGGGCTAAAATAGCTACTTTTATACCAACTCTATATAGTAGCTTTTCTTATGTGTTCAGGTGATTATAGATGGACTAGTTAGTAAGTCCATCTATAATCACCTGAACACATAGATATAGAACCACTGATCAAAAGATCAGAAGGCCAAGTATGGTGGCACAGGTCTTTAATCCCAGCACTTAGGAGTGAGAGGCAGGTGGATCTCTGTGATAAAGGTCAACCTGGTCCACACAGTGGGTTCCAGACCAGCCAAAACTATATGGTGAGACCCTATCTATAAATAAAGAAGTAATCAAGCAAATTCAAATGGAAATCAATGGTAGGCTTCTCAAATCAAAGACTCAAAAGAACCAGAAGATGACAAGACTGCATTTTAGAGGAATCAATATATAGTCACTCTCAAATTTCTCTTTGTTCAAGGATTTACCAAATCCACTGAAGGAGCTAATAATTTATATATGCATATAGGAGAATTAAGGGAGATTATTTACAAACAAATACATGCATAAACACACATACATATAATGTTTAGTGATCACTTCAAAAGACATCACCCTGGATAAAAATTATAAAGTATTTGTGTAACGAAATCATGTAACAGCATCATATTAAAATGGGTATACAGAGTGATGTTGAGTAGTCATTAACAGAATGTGGAACATATTCACATTATAATTATGAATCACTTTCACATAACCTATACTTATGAAGTGCTTAATCATTTTTCTGCCAATGTAGTCAACCCTTACCTGTAGACACTCTACAGAAAAGGGGAAAAAAGAAAATGTTCAAGCCACGCTGAAAGTTTTCCTAAAGCAAAGGCAATCTTAGGCTGCCAATCTCTGGCTATCCGTAAAGTGAATAAATCCCAATTTTAGTACAATCCTTAGGCTCTTCTAAAAAGAGTAAGTTTACTATTAAGCCTATTTTTCAAAAGTCACTCTTAAAAGGTTCTGTTTAGCTGTTCTCCCTTAGTGTTATTTGGGAAAGTTCATGTTGTTCAATCTAACAGCATTTTGTACAATAACAGCTAATTAAAATAAGTAGGTTACTTTCTACTTAGGAAAAGGGAAATCTGGACTATCTTGACAATACACTGAACTACTTTAAAAGAAACTACTGCAGCAACACAAGAAAAAAAAATACAAAAGTAAAATAAGATTTAAACAGAGGAAGATCTTTTTTAAAAAGAAAACTTAATGTGGAATCTCTCAAAAGAGTTTTTTTTTTTTTTTCCAAATTACTAAAGACACCGTAGCTGGGTATGGTGGCTCATGTCTAATTGCCCTGGCACTTCAGAGGTTGACAAAGGAAGACTGGCAGAAGTTCAAGTGCAGCCTTGGCTACACAGTGAGTTCTAGGTCCGCCTGGACTGCAGGTATCATATTTCAAAAACATCCAAGAGGTATGGGAAAGACACTGTAAATATTGTCAATGCCACCAGGCAGTAATGGCTCACACCTTTAATCCCAGCACTCCAGAGGGAGGCAGAGGCAAGCCAATCTTTGTGAGTCTGAGGGCAGCCTGGTCTACAGAGCAAGTTCCTGGACAGCCAGGGCTACAGAGAGAAACCCTGTCTTGAAAAAAAAAAACTATGTATGTATGTATGTATATGCCTTAAGGACATCGTATTCCTGAAACTGTGGGATCAACTGTCAGATTATTCCAACCTCAACAGAATGTATCAAGTTGAAAATATAGGCCACCAGAAAATATAACATAAAATTTCACTGCATACATGTTTTCCCACTACACATGATCTTTGTCAGTTTATTTGTTCAGTATAGGGATTCACTTTGTAGCCTAGGCTGACCTGAACTCAGACTAGCTTCTCATAACAATCTTCTTACCTTAACCTTCTGAGTGATGGGATTACAAGCATGAGATAGAACACCAGGCTCACTCATGAATTTTTTAAAAGTATAGATCTACCATGTGGCTTCCTATTAATAACATTAGCTGTGGCTACCTATGGGTAGTATGTATTGTTGCCGCCTCCTAATCAGGGTTTGGTCCATAGGAAAATGACATCATAATTCAGCCAGGCACATATTCTCAACACCTTGGAGGGTTGAGGAAGAAGAGGCACAAGTTTCAAACCAGGCTGCACAGCAAGACCCTGTCCAGAAAGAAGAAAGAAAGAGGAGGGAAAAGAAAGGAAAGAAGGAAGAAAAGAGTGAAAGAAAATATTTTATAAGCTAATTAAGTTTAAAATAATATGACCTAACATCTGAAAAGATGTTTCCATAAAGACTGTTTTTGTTTAGTGACCCAAGCTCTCCCTAGGTAGCCTAGGATGGACTTGAACTAAATATTTTCCTGCCTCCACCTCACAGGTGCCTGGGTTACAGGCTATGACATCCTTCCTAAAGATTGTTCTAACATGAATCCCCTCTTTTAAACCGTACAATTCACTGTGAAACTATGGGGTGAGCGTGTCCTGGTAAATAAAGAAGTTGCGCAGATTTTTTTTAAAGAACTCTAAGAAATTAAGAAATGCATTTTAAGAAAAGGGGGAGGGTACCAAAATTTTCACAATTTGACAAGATTGCAGGCACCTAAATGGTCAGGTTGGAAGCAGGAAAGAGAAATAGTTAAAAAGCTGATAGAATAGTCAAAAGCCTGGGGAAATTTTTCCTATCTCTGAGAAGTCATTATGCAGATTTGTATCTAGGATGCAAAAGCCACTAGTCACCTTGAGAACTTGCCAGAACTACTTCAGTTACTTAAACCAGAGTCCCACCACCAAACCTCCAACGGTTTACAACTGAGACTATACAGAAAAAAGGTGGAAGCCACCCCTTCCAATGCCTATCCCTCGTCCAGATGATTCCAGCTCCCCACCCCCACCCCGGAAAAGGAATAAGCAAGCAGCTGATGACCAGAGACCCCAAAACTGAATTCTTCCAATCAGGAAAATAACGCCCACTTTTTTTGTGGCTAAAGAACTGTCTAGAACTCCTTACTGGGCTGTCACGGGAGACAGAAAAGTATACCATGGCAAGGGCTGAGCAAGAAGGAAACAGGAGGACTCCTGCGGGGGATTGGGGCGGGGAGCTAGCTTCTACAGACCTCGCCAGGCAGAAACCTGGCATCCTCACCCCCTCTTGCAACCTGACAATTTACAACCTGGCAACGCCTTCTAATTAGGAACGTTCTAAGCCTTTTATAGACGAAAACTTTAAAGTGCTTCTCACACGTTATGATAAACCGGGCACTGGAGCCTGCTCCTGAGAAGCCGGGCTGCATCAAACCTCCAGCCTCACTGAAGAACCTGATGAGCCAGTGACTAGGGTTCTCTGCATGGTGGAGAGGGAGGAGCCCACCGGGTCTGGTAGAGTGGGCCGGGAAACAGGGTAGCAGCACAGGCGAGAAGAGCGGCCAAGCAGTGCTAGCCTCAGCGCACCGGCAGACAGGCAGAGGGAGCCCACGCAGGAGCCAGAGTGCAGGGTGCAGAAGCGA